TATATTCAGGACTGCTGATCATTCTTTATTATTTTTTGCAAATATCTACCAAGCATTTTTATCTGTAGCCTTCATTGCAGCCAGGTTTGTAATGCCAGTGCTAGGTATCACAATTAATTATTTATACAATGGCATCATTAAAAGATGTCTACTTGTTGTTGTTGTTAACGTCTTTGTGTAGTTTCTCAAATCATGGAATTTCTTCCAAAGCTTTAATGCCCCATTTTGTACAATGATTCTTTTGCATATAATAACGCTTGCACACAAGTTACTAACTTTTGCCATAGATGTTTCTAAGGATAAGAAAAGGCTCTTTTTGCATTCCCTCTCCTCTGCAGTAAAGTACTGAACTTAAGGCCTTTACGCACCTTACAACAATCATAGCCAAATTGACCCTTTTTCTCGGAAGTAAGCAAATTCTCAAGCTGTCTGAATTGTTGCCTGTGTGTTATGCCATCATCAAGCCCTTCAGGGCAAGCATGCTCAGGAAACCACATGGGTTTGGGGGAAATTTTTGATTGGCTAACCTAATTTTGAAAGCCTACCAAAGTAATTCTCCCCTAGAAGGTATCTCTAATGTATTTAAGATAAAGTTTGAGTCTCTTTTTCACATCCTGGAAGCAGGAATCTCTTCTGCAATGGATAGTTTCCTTGCTTAAATATCTCCTGTCTCCAGGTCAAAGTAGGGATTCTATCACAGCCATATTCCACATGTGTGATTGCCCACTAAGATAGTTTCAATAAGGGTTGCTTCACAGAAGCCACAGGTTCTTAGTTTGAATTAACAACTACAATTCCCTAAAACTCCTAATTCCTCAATGCCTGCAATAGACCAGAGAATGTAAAATGCCTTGGCTTATTCCTAGTACAATAAACCATGATATATTTAAATGCAGCCACTGCACCATTATTATTTCATCACAAGTAGATTTACTTTCGTATGTTACGTGTGTATGCCTTTTATTGCTATGACCTCAAAGAACGAACCAGAATTTTAAAAAAAACTTCTATTAAAAAGTACATAAGCCTCTGATATACTGTGTCTGTGTGTCTGTGTGTGTGTATACAAAAGACCAAGAAAAAGCCACATAACACATTTTTAGGCTGACATTTAAATTGCCTTAGTGAACCACGCATTTTCCCCATCCATATTCTTTATTGGAGTCAAAAGATGAGACCTTCTGAAAAGCAGAATGATAGCAGTTCTCTGATCATATTTATCTTCATGAGTGAAATGGCCATTTATAAATGTTCCCGACATGCCTGAGTTATTGCAACATTTGTCTTCAGTCAAATGGAGCTGCATAACAGCTTGGCCATTTTGAAGTCAATGTGCATTATCACTCTGGAATATAAACATTATTACAGTGAATGCAATAAGCCTGTATGTGCAACTGATATCACAGGTGATTTAAAAAAAAAATCACTTTGCAGAATAAAAAAACAACCAGAAAAAGGCTGATCATATTCTTTCTTTCTCCCAGCAAATGAAAGTCTAGCAGTTTCTTAAATGGAAATCAAATGCAATTCAGATATGAAGAATTACATATCTTTAAGAGAATATTATTTAAATAGGAACTTTGTACAGCTTGTGACAATAAGTTCCCTTTCTACTAAGGGATGAACACAGAATCATAAAATTAAATAGGAAATCAAGCACCATCCACTTCAATCATCTGTTTAGTATCTGATTTTGTAGAAATATGTAAACTTATTTCACTACCAGCTCTTGTTTTCTTTTGTTAACAGGTTACCCCAGTGGTGGGATTCAAAAGTTCCCACCACCGGTTCTATGGGCATGGCTTCGTGAGTGTGGCTGCAGGGGGGGTTATGCGATGCATGCTTTGTGCACGTGTTAAAACAGTAAAAACTAAGCTTGCGCCTCTCAGCTATTTAACACAGCAATCCGTTCTGCTGCACCAAAAAGTTGAGAGGTTAAAAAGCACCTAGGAGCAGGGATGGCCCAACTGCAGAGCGTCGGAGACTTGGAGCAAAACAGTTCTCTGCCAGAACCGGGCCGAACCGGTAGAATACACCACCTGGTTGCCCCATTAATAGGGAAGAAACTTGTGCAGCCTGGAAAATTGAACAGTTACATCACTGCTATTTGCGATACATTTAAGACCAAATGCATGTGTTTACTGATAAAAATGCAATAGTAGATTCAAAATGTACTATTCTCTATCACTCCTTATCGCCCATCCCCTCCCACTTGTGACTGTATGACTGTAACTTTGTCGCTTGTATCCTTACCAGGATTGACTGTTTCCTAGTATGATTCAAATGCTTATTGTATCCTATGACTATTATTAAGTGTTGAACTTGATCATTCTTCACTCTTGACGAATGTATCATTTATGTACACTGAAAGCATTTGCACCAAGAAAAATTCCTTGTGTGTCCAATCACATTTGGCCAACAAAGAATTCTATCTAAAATAAATGATCCAAGAGACAGTAATCAAGTCTCCTCTTAAAGTTCTCTTAGACTATATATTCTGATATTCAGTATCATGCTCAAAACCTGATGGCTCTCTGTTTTCTTTCTTCTGGTCTTACATAAGCTGGTCCGCAGAATTTCTCAGTTATCAAACTCTTTCCAACTGGTGGTTGTTCTGCTTCCATTGTTGAAAGTTTAGTCGTGTACTGAGACTTAAAACAGATGGAATTTTCACCATGTAAAATATGCATGGGACAACTCTAATCAATACATTTATCCACTGAAACCCTGTCATAAAGAGCTGCTCTGTCATTTTAACAAGCATTATGTGCCCATTGTCTAATAGGAAGGTCCTCAAATGTTATGATGGACATTTATCAGCCTCCCAGATCTATGCAATCCCCGCTCCATGATGGTTTTTTAAAATTTCTTCTCCATGATTTGGAGAAGGCAAGGGACCAGCAAATGAGTGAAAGAGTTAGTAGGTACTGACATACTGTTATGTCCACATGGTTGGATAAAATAAGGGGATCTTATTTTATGAGCCAAGGTGGCACAGTGGTTAGAGTGCAGTACTGCAGGCTATTTCTGCTGCCTGCCATCTGCCTGCAATTTGACATTCAAATCTCACCAGGCTCAAGGTTTTCTCAGCCTTCCATCCTTCTGAGGTCGGTAAAATGAGGACCTAAATTGTTGGGGGCAATATGCGGACTCTGTAAACCGCTTAGAGAGGGTTGTAAAGCACTGCAAAGTGGTATGTAAGTCTAAGTGCTATTGCTGTCTGCATAGACCATGATGATTAATATTTTATGAGCCCTGTATGTCCTAGGGGAGTTTACTGGGAAACAATTCTGCAGCTTGAGAAAAATACAGGTAATCAAATTATTTGCCATAACGTTCTTGTGTAGTTTATACTTGGATTACAAAACATTTCAGAAGAAACTGGATTTTAAGGTTCACACCATAGGCATATTTATTAATTAAATTTATATGCCACCCATCTCGCAGTTCAGGGCAACTCTGGGCAGGAAGGAATACAAGGTTGAACCTCATCATAATTGAATGGCCAGCATATCTTGAACCAAATTGTTGAAAGCGTTCCTGAGATTTCCCAATAGGAGGAGGAAAGGGGGAGCACTATCATCATGGGATTTTAGGCAAGGTGACTAATTCTAATGACTTCAAACTTCTTATATACTAGAAGAGAGGTGTATACATAATCCCTACTATTTCCTACTATTCCATTCAGGAGTATCCAACATCTAGTGTCGGATAGGATAGGATAGGATAGAATAGAACAGAAGACTAGGAAGGGAGGTAAACCCTATACCATTTCAGAGGAATGGTTATCCAATCTCTTCTTAAAAACTTCCAGTGTTGGAGCATTTACAACTTCTGGAGGCAAGTTGTTCCACTGATTAATTGTTCTAACTCTCATGAAATTTCTCCTTAGTTCTAAGTTGCTTCTCTCCTTGATTAGTTTCCATCCATTGCTTCTTGTCTTACCCTCAGGTGCTTTGGAGAATAACTTGACTCCCTCTTCTTTGTGGCAGCCTCTGAGATATTGGAACACTGCTATCATGTCACCTCTAGTCCTTCTTTTCATCAAACTAGACTTTTCTTTTCAGAGAACAGCTTGTGTTCCCACCGTTCTCCAATCTTTTAGCCACTCAGTACAACCATTAACAGGGGCTTCTATTTGTATCCATCAAGTGCTATTTTCTTCTAATTTATGCAATCATAAAGGGAACAGAACTGAATCTACTTACGTCATTCCAACTAAGCTTGTCAAGGTGGATGGGCAAGTGATAGAGGACATGGATTCTCAGTGTTTGCTTCAAAGGTTCTGTATCAAATGGCATTAGAGGAAATTTGCAGAAAGATAGAGGCTTTAAAATAAACGGGAATTTAAAATAATTGATTTGTTTGATAAACTACCTTGCTTTAACATATGCACTCTTTAATCATGTGTTTTTGTATTTTAAACATGTTAATGATCTACCTCATACATATTACACACACATATGAATTTTATTCCATCCTGATTATTACTTATTTTTCCCCATAATTCAGAGTAATTAGAACATGTGTAATTAGTATAATTAGAACACCGTCTAATTATAGTTAGTTTGGTCTTTCTCAATAAATCATAAGACGGGCATGTAGAAACTAGGGAAAGGAAATGAAAATATCATGTATACATTATATTCAGGGTATTACACTGAAAAAAGATGAAATTTTATTCTTCTTGGTTCCAAGGATATATATTCTGTATATTCTTCAAATACTGCAATATTTTCCATCAGACCATGAATCCTTATAAAAAGGTTCAACCAGAATTAAAACCTTAACTGCTAAATCAAAGTCTATTTTGGGTTATCATCAACTGCTTTTGTATGTAATGTTGTTTGTTGGTAACAGTGCATAGGTACTGAGAAGTAGGCCTCACAGAGTTCACTTACTTCCTGAAAAGTCTCTCATAGATTACAATCAAAGGGCAACAAAAACAGCCAAGAAGGATAATCTAATTTTCTTTTCCAGTTCTGAAAGCTTATTTCTGCTCTATCGTTCCATCTAGAGTACAGAAATAAAGACAGTCATCATGGAAAAAACGTATCATTAAAGTAAGGGAAAATTACCGACAGAATTTCAATTAGCAAGCTGAATAGTTGCCAGTATTTTGAACTATTAAGATGAAGCTAATGATCAAGAAATTATACTAGGCCCAAGAGTATTTGTATTAATAGAAGTTCACATCTGAACATTTGAGTCCCACACATTAATCTACTACCATAGATTACCATGTATCTTCCTTTGAAATACATTACTCTGTAGCTTGGATTTCCATGTAATTTGAATGAAAATTAGATGCCAAATGTAATTAATTTTAGTAGAAAATTAAATAATTATAAATTATAATTGTTAAATTCTCACTGGTGGCTTCCAGTGCAGGGAGTGAGAAACTGTGTTTCCAAGGATTGACTGAATATTAATATTTAATTATAGGACAACTCAAGGAAGTCTACAACTCATAATAATCTATATCATAAAGCTTCTACAATCTTTTTCTTTCCCCAATATCTAAAGCAAAAAAATATTTAAACATTTAAACAAAAACCAGTTTAAACATTTACTGATTTTCTGTTGTGTAAGTAACAGACATGAATGGTGTATAGTGGAAAATCACCATCATCATCAATGTACTAAATAAACTAACTAAAGAGTACCTGTGACACTTCATAAGGATACTCTACAAAGTAGTCATTGAACAAGCATTAACCTTCTGGACACAGGAAATGTTTTCCCAGAAAAAAGCAATTTCTTTAACCCAACAAAGCTATGATTAAAACAGTATTCAGTGGAACAACCTCTCATTACAAAATGAGATGGTATTCTAAATATAAATTTTAAAGTTTGAACTGCAACATACCAGGAAATAACATTGGTTGCCTATAATTGGCATGAATGCCTAGCTGATTGATTGACTCATTGGTTTAGATTTCAGCAGTGTCTAACTCCAAAGCAATTCTGAGTGGCTTGATAAAAGATCTCCAAGATAAACTAACTCAATAGTATTTCTAATGATAAGTATTTCTAAAAAGAAAAAAAAAGCATCCACCTGTTATTTCAGAAGTGATATTGTAGTTTTCCCAATACATATCAAAAGCTCCTTTTCTTCTTCTTTAAATAGTCTTGATTCTTTATACATCACAATAAAGGACAAAACTTGAGTACCTCAAAACAGTGTCAATGTAACTTTTGAGTTACAACCATTAATTCAACATTATTATTGTCCATGCATTATCGTACTGTATTATATCTATGAGACACACCTTTCCTATTTCAGCTGATTAATTTTCTGGAACAGAGGGTGTTCCATCCTTTTCCTGCCAGCAACTAAAATAAAGTGAATGCCATGGTGAATGTCTTACTTGAACCTGTTTTTCTTATTGATTTGCAAAAATAATATCTTTTGCATTATGGGACATCTCTATTTTATGTTGTGAACCCATTATATTGTATGACTTCAAATGCATAGCCAGACTGCTTAATGGATGCTACATTTCATTAGGCAGATACATTAGTGGTTAAACCACAACGTTTTGTTACCTATCAACTATATTTTATTTCCTGACATAACGCTGGCCAACTTTCTCTTTCTATGAGGAGATGGTGTCAACCAGCCCCAAACACACCTTTGCAGTGTAAAAATATTTGAAGCTTCTTATTTTAGTTTTTTATTGTTTTAAAAAAGTTAAGGCTGTTTAGTATCAGTGTCAACACTGAAGTTTCGGTAATGAAACTCAACTACTCTCTTAATATATTTCATACAAAATGCTAAATCAAGTGGTCCCTTTCAACTAATGGGATAAATTAGGTGTTATTAATGTATTAATCTCCTACATCTCCGTCCCTATCCCCAATCAGCCACAGAAAATGAAAACTCAGGGCAAGTAAGGCAGTTCCAAGAAGATCTCCAAGTGCAGTAAGATAAGGAATAGAAAAACTGTCTGGATCTTTCCCTTTTTTCCAGATGTGGTGCACCATCCAGTCAGCAATCCATAATAAGATAAATACCTATGAGAGAATAACACAGTTAGGGACATGACTAATTATTATACTTAAAACAGCAATAAAACTTTGATGGAAAAAGCAGTTAAAAATCAGTGGGTTAAAATATTGTTGGATGTCCAAATACAAACTGATAAAAGTTTTGGCTCACAACACACCAGTTTTAACTGTGGTTGAAAAGAAGAAAGTGTGGAAAATTGATGTGGCAATACCAAGGAGTAGTAGAATAGAACAGGGGTCCCCAACCACCGGTCCGTGGAACAAGTCCTACCGGGCCGCTGGTTTGCTGGGCGCCGCCATCTTTTTTTGATGAAAAAGTGCTTCCGGTGAGCTTTTCCGGGTAGAAAGCTCACCGGAAGCACTTTTTCATCAAAAAAAGATGGTGGCGCCCAGCTAATGCTGGTACCGGGCCGCGCCATAAAAAAGGTTGGGGATACCGGGCCGCGGCATAAGAAAGGTTGGGGATCACTGGAATAGAAGACAAAGAATTAGAGAAGATTGAAAGTATCAAAATACGAAAATTGAATCTGAAAGATAAACATAAATGGAGTGTGGTAGTTTCCTTCTGTCAATTACAAAATGCCACATGCATATTATGTTGGCATACATCACAGCATCCTAGGTTCTTGAAAAGAACTTGATGCATATATAGGCCAAATATCAGAAAAAGAATTGGCAGCTGTGATTTCATTTTATTGTATATAGGTGTCTTGGGTGCAATCCCAAAAGAACTGGAGCACCATGTGAACACCCTTGGCATTGGCATTGACAAAATCACCCTCAGTCAATTGCAAAAGGCAACTTATTTGGAACAGCTTACATCCTGTGCTGATACCTTTAATAATAATAATAATAATAATAATAATAATAATAATAATAATAATA